TATAAAACTGTGCGTAGAATCCTCACTAAAAGTGTACGTACGCCCGAAAGCCAAAAATGTCGTACTAAAAAAAATATTTAGACTTATAAAACCGTGCGTACGCCAGAACCTGCACAGAATTCACTTTATAAATCCCAGTCAGGGGGAAAATTGTGCGCACATGCGTCTTCACCCCAAAATAACCATAAATGGAGATTTCAACAGCTAGTTTTACTATGCATATCCTCATCTGCATATCATTTGCATATGATTATTCATCCACATGATAACATGTTTAAAGGTACAAGACGTTAGGAAAATATGAAATACGAATGTGCCGTCACATTACATTTAATAAAAATCATTTAGTAGCCCATCCTTCCCTTGTTTTTTAAATAAATAAAATAAAATAGTGCAAAATGCATTTCAGAGAAAGTTTTTCTCAGTCTTTTCCACTGGCCAAATAGTATTTTAATTGATTTATATTTTAATGGAAACAGATAGACCTTGTTTTGCATGATTTGCACGAAACCATTTTCTCAGACAATCTGCTATCATGATAAGCAATTATCTATGTCGTTAACACATTAAAACACACACAGCATGCCAGAGGAAAATTGTTCAAAAGCATCACATCCACAATAAATATTTATATTTATTGAATATAAAAATGTTGTAACTTCTCAGTAATGATGTATAAATTCATGTAGTTTAAGTGTTTAACTCCATTAATGAAAATGGCATGTTTATATCAGAAGTAAAACATAGTTTAAATCATTCATTTATGTATTTAAACTGTTATTGTGAATATCCACTGTATTTATGATGGACTCATAATGAAGAATTACGGTTTTACTTCATCTGCCGTTAGATTATAGGCTATGCGTCAGTTTCACTAAACGGCTCAACGCGCTCGCTCGCGCGGATATTTAAGAAGGGAAGGATATTTGCTTCAAGTGATAGGCTAGGTTTGGTGAGTGAAATTATATTTCTATTATCTTTCAGTATATGTATAATTTCCTTAAATTTTCGGTCTAAAAGTGACCAAAAAGACATTTAACTCGAGCTCACCATCGGTGTCGCCAAACTGCTCCATCTCCAAAACATTCGTACGCATGGGTCAGAGTTTGCGTGCAGGTGCGCAAATTTTCCTGTCAAGTTTGTTTTTATAAATCACAAATTATGCATCGGAAGTGGCGTACACCTCTTTCAGGGCCTGTTTTGTGCGTACGCAATGGTTATAAATGAGGCCCCAGGCGCGTCCAAGTGTTTTTTGCTAGTTTCAGCCCGATGCAGTTATCATTTTCACGCCCTGCACCACATTGTTTAAATGCGCCCATGGGCGTGCTGGTCTGAAAACAAGGTGTGTCCAGGCACATTGCTATTTTGAGGCAACTGAAATAGACTGCACCATTGACCAACTGAAACCTGAAGTCTAAAGTCAATGGCGCTATATTTACTTTTGTTATTTAAAGAGAGCGTTTGTAATGTGCACCTATTGGCGGGTCCACAACGCGCGTACACTCTGCTTATTACACACCCAGGGACGAGCAGAAGCACACAAACATGCCAAATACAAATAAAAGGATTACAATGTAAAAGATTGTTATTGTGTACATAAAGATATGGTGGATTCCGGGTTGTCCAGTAGATGGTCTGCTTGCTCACTTTAAACTTGCGCACGAGCAGATCCGTTTCCTCACTAGAGAAGCTTTCCGTTTTCCGCTTGCAAATTCTGTCGTGTAAATAGGGAATCCGCCATAGCGAGCGCAACTGGCTTTTAAAGGGAATGGGAGATGAGACTCTGATTGGTTTATTGCATGTTATGCCCAGAACACACTCATTACTCATTAAGAGAATAAAGACAGCCCTTCTAGACCATGCGTCGGTGTGCGCCGACCATTTTTGCTGTCGTTAAACTAGCAAAAGTGGATTCGGACACGCCCTAAGTGCATTTGCGCCATGTGCTTTGGACCATGCACTTAGATCCTTAAAATAGGGTCCAATAGGTTGCTTTTAAATTTGCTGAAATAATATTGTGATGATGCATGTTTAGACTGATGTGTTGGACTAATACATTTATTTTAGACGTCCCAATTTATATTGGACCTTTATCCACCACACTTTGAATGATCTGTGGTGCGAAGCTCTATATTTTCTTCACTTTGCAAGATATTTTATGAGATGTTTTACTCAATACTGAAGTTCTATAAATGGCATTGATTCATTCTGCCTCAGAATTAATCATATAACCAAACTTCACTCTTGTCTAACTAGGACAGACCTCAATGTGTCCTGTGATGTCCTCATTGAGACGCCCATCAATGGAGGTGTGTTCCTGGCGGCCAGGGTTGATCAAGCTGGAGAATCCGTCAGAGAAGCAAAGGGTGTATTTTATTGGCTGTATGCAAATGGAACCTATAAAGTGACAAATGACATAGGTAACGATTTTCTTTGAGTACAGCGTGTTCATTTTTGGTTATATCATTATAAACAGGGGTTGAAA